CTATGTAAAGGAGAATCGAGCGTACAATTTATTAAAACAAACAACAACCTCTTTTTATATATATATATATATATATATATAAATAATTATTCAATTATTCAAAGTTGAAAGAGTCGATCGAGTGTACTTTAATACGAATGAAAAAAAACTTCGATTATGTTAATTATCCTCCCTTCTTTATCATCTACATCATCATCCATCATCTCTTCATTTCTTTTCCACGTCGATCTCGCGTTGAAAAAAAGAAACGACGTAACAAAGAAACGAGGATCTAATCTAATCTCTACGCGCCGCTCAACAAATTTCACTCGCCAGCCCCAAAAAGCCGTTCTTTCGTCACTCCTTTCGAAAACTCCTTTGTCCGATAATACAGTTTCGCGTAACTGAAATAACAACACCGGTAGACAAAGTAAATGATCGATCTTCATTCCGGTGAATTCCACCTTTTATATATCCACCGTTCAAGCATAGATACGAAGGCTGTGGTGAACACATTGTTCGCTGACAAGGAAGATTAATAGACCTGCTGGAGAGCATCAAAATTTCAGAAAGAAAAATCAATCTTACGAGAGAGCCAGCCACGCTTATCCGCCCATCTTCCGTACTTATCAAAACCTAATCACCGAACCTCCTCTCTTCATTAACACCGTAGCCGCTATTAATATCGGGCATACCGCGTTAACTCGAACTCGAAATTAACCTTCTTCTTCTTCTAGCCACGCCCGACGACTTCAACGAAAAAGAAGAAAGCGAAACGTGACGTTTTCTTCAAAGAAAATTCTGTTCGCCAATTCTGCTCGACGAAAGACTTTTCAATTTTGCAAAGAGTTCTATCTCCTCCTACTCGATAATAATCCATTCGATCGAGAGAAATTAGTCAAATTCCGCTCGAAAACTTTTCCAATTTGACTCGAAAAACGAAGCCGTAAGAAGAAAAAAAAATTGTACCCCTTCGGTCTTCGACCTCATCCTCTGCATCCAAGCAAAAGAAGAAGCGGCTATTTTCGACTCGTTTAAAGAGCAAGTTCGAACAGTCAGCCAGTCTGGATTTTCGCGTCTCCCCGTTTCGCTTGGCTCGCAATCAGGAAAGCATCGCGACCGATCGATCCCATTCTTTCCTCTCCTCCTTTCTTCCCTCCCCCTCGCTTTCTTTCCCTTCCCTCCTCCTCATCTCTCTTCCTCCGCTCGAAATCCGAGCAACGAAAATGGGAGGGGGAGGAAGGAGGAAGATATCGAAAGCTCGGTAATCGGCACCCCCTTATACCGCACGAGATGCTATCCCCCACGAGCCGCTCGTCTCTCATGTATCGTTTTATCCAACGGATCTCCATCTATCTTCGATCGAGTGAAAGGGAGTTTAATAAAGGGAGGGTTGTCTCGAAGCGAAAACTCGTTTCCTCCTTCGAAAAATTTAAATTGCCCTCCCCTCAGAATCGTTACTCAGCTAGGTTTTATGAGAAAAACACAACAATTTTTCCTTTTTTTTTTTTTTTTTTTTAGCGTGTAATTTAAGATTCGTTGTCACGTACAGCGAAAGAATTTTTTTGTGAATTTGTTACATTTTGTTTTTCTTTCTATGATTATTTTGTTACGATAAATAACACTCGCAAGATGGGAAAAAATTGCAATTATTTATTGCGCGATACGTCTATGTTCAATAATCATTAGCTAAACTTGAAGCGATTATGAAGAAAGTAGTAAACTCGCAATCCTCTCCAGAACTATGCCACTATTAATTTTCGTAAAATTTTGTCGCACTCGCGTTATATTAAAAAATGCGTTTCATTTCGCGCTTTGTATCTTCCTGTAAAAGATAAAATAGTACACACGATCCAAACCAAATTCTCCCCAAATTTGGAATTTGGACACATTTTCCGAATCTATCGTAGAATTCCTCTAGGAAAAAAAAAAGGAGGAAGAATTTGAGGGGGAAAAAAGTAATATTCGCTGAAATATCAAGAGGGTTAGAAAAATGGGGAAGAAGGAGGGGAGAAATGGTGGAGTGGGATTGGCAATTGTGCAATTGACGCGGGAACCACCTCTTGGCGAGAACCACCACTTGGCCGTTGGACCGGATGTGTTTCTCGCCCGACAAAGATTCGTTCACGTGCGCGCGGTACGAAAAAAAAAAAAAAGAAAAAAAGAATTTGCTTGCAACGCCCGTTGCATCGATACACGGAACGTGGGGTGGAAACGTGATCCGATTAAACTTATTTCTACCGTGCCGATTTTAATCTGTTGTCCCGAAATAATCCCGTTTCATCGAGTGAACTCGCTCGTACTATTTGATTCGCGATACACGCGATAAGGAAGAAACGAAATTCGATTCCGACGATATCGAGGCAGCGATATTTTTCGCTGTTTCGCCGATTAAACGGCGGATAATCATTTTTACCGTTTTCTCGTAATAATATTTTCGCATATAAT